TATGCAGGTAGAATTGGGCATGCAAGTATGTTATGACAGACTCTGCAATTCTTTTAGGTTAGATATTATAAAAATTGGCATTTCCTCTGGTGGTTTAATTACAATATTAACTTTTAAGTACATATTTATTTTCTGCCCGAGATGTTTAATGTATCCACAAGATTACACGATTTAGAAGTACTTGAGGGCGCCAACCATCAAAATCGGAGTTGTTACGAAAATGATAGTGTTTTGAATTATAAAATGGATGTCTTATATGGAGGTTTGGAAGAGTGTTAAAAGAGTATTGTCGAACGCATTCGCAGACTTGAACAAAAAATATCGCACATTCTCTTTCCTCGCCAACTTTGTCCTGATAATAAGATAAGTTCAGCTAAATCAGATGAGAAGCACTAACCAAATGACTGATTAAGCCAAATAAATATTCTCTCCATTGTGTACGCCAGTGTTATGAAAGGGTGACTCGAAATATATGCATGAAAGAGGGCCAAGAGAGACCACACTGCAAATGGGTGATTACAGTCAGTTTCTCAGTTCTGATCTTGACAGCGTTTTCCCGTCAGTTGGCTCCCCTTCAAATCACGAGTCTTAGCAGGTACTGATAAATTAAATCAATCCACTGTGGATGTCTCAGTAACAGCCTAACGCTCTCGTCAATCCTTCCATGCGTTTTTCGACTGTCCGAGTCTGCCAGTCAGCTGGTGATGGGATTGGCCACAGATCTGCGAGCATAACCCTCCCATGATAGGCAGTAGATTTGGGCTCGCGCAAACCCCTTGCAGCTTACTCCACGCGTGTGCAATGAACGAATGTGCGCCCTGTTTTTTACACAGTATAACTACAGCGCAGCTTGTGGTATGAGCCAAACACGAAACCAACCCACTGCAGACTTCCACGAGTTTGGCTTATACAGGTGTAAAGTAAGTACGATTATCGTAATTCTGCAAATATTCCCATTTTACGATTCAGAATTCATGTTGGCAAACATATGTTTTGGCAATTCATCATCGGGCCAGTACGATACAAGGACAAAAATAGCCAGTTATGGGTGGTGTGGTTATTAAATGGTTCTCGAGGTAGGGGAGGGGTAGGGGTCTAATTAGTCATCGTGGTGTTCCCTCATCTCACGCATGCGGGTTCTTGCCTGTTGGTGGCTTTGGGTCTGGGAAGCAGGGAAGAGGGGGGAGGAAGGGATGGTCTCAGTGTCGGCGTGCGTAGTTGGTGATGACGTCTGCTCTGGTGGCACGATATTCACTGGGGTAGCTGGCCAGGGTAGGCAGACTGCGGCTACCAGCGTCTTTTGACGGCAGAGAGCGGACTTAACTAAGCGGATTGCCACCGCTTCGGCTGTGGCCAGCACCCGTTTGCGCAGGCCTTTAGAATAGTGTGCCGGAGCCTGGTATATTACTTATAAGGCCTCTCTCGCGTCAACTTGCTGGTTTGTATCGATCAATTGTGCGAGAATTGAACTTGAGATCGATCGATTTTCTCGTCTGCCGACCCAGGCTGTTATATGCTCGCGTATCCTCTTTTCCAGACTGCCAATATAGACCACCCCACAGGAGCAGGTGAATGAACAAATGCACATGGATGTGGCCTGCAACGGTAGTCGATCTTTACCCCCATCCGTAAAAGGGGGCGTTGGCGATTTATACGCGTAGGTTTGCCGCTGGGATGGCATTTGTAACTGCTGCCTTTAGAGGTCGCCTTACTAGTTCGCTTGCTGCGTCTTCTAGAATAGGTGGCCTTATGAATAAATCTTTCTTTTCTGCCGTTGCAACGGCAGCCTTTGGGACACGCTCCTTGATGTTTCAGAGGATGAACGTTTCGGGATATCCATTTTCGCGGAGTGTATTTTGTAGCTGTTGCAATCCGCTTAACAATGCCCGCTCTCTGCTGTCAAAAGACGCTGGTAGCCGCAGTCTGCCTACTCTGGCCAACCACCCCAGTGAATACTGTGCCTCCAGAACAGACGTCATCACCAGCTACGCACGCCGACACTGAGACCACCCCTTCCTCCCCTCTTCCCTGCTCGCAGGACCCAACGCCACCAACAGGCTATGACTCGCATGCGCGAGACGAGGGAACACCATGATGACTAATTTATCCCCCACCCCCTCCCCCTACCTAGTGCACCATTTAATAACTGCACCACCTATAACTGGCCATTTTTGTCCTTGCATTGTACTGGCTCGATGACGAATTGCCGACAACGTGTGTTTGCCAACATGAATTCTCAATAAGTACGATTACTGCTAGAAGCGAATATGCGAGTTTCAGGAGGGAGTTCAGAAGAAGAAGAGGATGCGATCGCTGGAAAATTGCATTGCGTCAGATGCCCAGCGACCAATATTTATTAGCTTGAATAGGTATTCGACGTCGCAATATCGTATAGAGTTTACCACTCCTCGAAGAAATCCAGAAAAAAGGGAAGCTGCGAAAATTAAATGACTGATTTTACTATTACTTTCGATTTAACAAAATGGGTATCGGTATCAAGGCCTTTCTGGAAATGAGTAAAAAGAAGCAATTGATGGAGAAAAAACATGGAAATGATTAGGATATTTAAGTTGACTACTATTCATAAGGGATAATGCAAAATGTTTTGGTACACCAGGTGTAAATATCGAAATGTTCCGTCAAATATTTCCTTAGCTGCGGATGGCAAACTTTGTCTGCCGAGAAAAAAGGTTCTTGTTTTAACTTACCAGCTTCCTTCGTTTGATGTTTAAGCGTCCATGTTGCGCCAAGATCGCCCAATTTCCCCACAGGAATGATATTTATAATGTACAGCGTATTCTGCCATAGTCCGTCAAATTCAGCGTTCAGTAAGTGGTCCTTAGCCAAAATAATTCGTGATATATTTCTGCCGCATTGCGTCGAAGACAAAATGGCCTGCAGGTCTATAGATTGACTCCACGTCCCGTCATACTAGAAGGATTTAAAAAATAACTCCACTAAAGTCAACACTTGACTCGAAAGTACATTTCGAATTCATGGAGGATAATAGGCAACAAGACTCTAACCTGATTAAAGTATCATTCTTGTGGATAATTAAATCGGAAATAGAGTATTGGGGGGTTTTATTAGTTCCTTTGTTTTAAATTACTTAATACCTGACAAACAACAGTTGTATTGTCAGTGAAATAGAATTTTAATAGCGTTAGTGCACCTGGCTAAGACGACTCGGCATGCTCTATTTGTCTGTTTGCTTGTAATTATGGCAGGGAACTGCTTGTACTAACATATCGCTCACCGGAAGGGTGATAGACAAGATAAATAACACATGAATTATGAAAAAGGCGATTCAAAATTTCTCAAAAATGTACTTTGAATGAAATGACGGATGACGAAAATTTGGAATCCTTGCAATTGGAAGGCGTTATTGACGTTGTCACATAGCCTCGAATATCTTCCTTGCTTAACCTCGGGGAGTCCCACCGCAAACTGAAGGCGTCTGTGCTGTGGTCTTGTACTTCAACATTGGTTACACATCCAATATTGTCTGAAAGGTAATAGAAGGCAAGCAAGTAAGTTATGTTGCATCCTTTTTTGCAAGCCAAAAATTATTTTTGCGGCATGAATGGTGCAGTCTTTAGCGCCTTTTCGAAAAACAAAGCAGCATCTAGCGTACGATACATTTTTAAAAAGAAAATGCATGTATTGGTTTAAACAATCTGTATTGATTGTTAAGCAATCAACTGCTTTGACCATTGAGTTAATGCTTCGGCAGTATGGATTCGAGTTTAAATCCAACAATTTTAAACTTCTACATGGAAAAAATGTAATAAAAATGCGTACGGAAGTAGACGCGGTCTTCGAAACAAGAAAATAATTTGCTTGACGTTTTGGATTCCCTCGAGAACCCATTACTCGAGACAGTAGCAATAGCAGAACCAGGTAGTTTACAGACAGGAAGTTCCAGTATTTATATGATGCCGTCTCTATGCTAAGGCACACCTAGGATAAATAACGCCCGCTTGTGCGACAAATGGTCGGTGGCCGGCGTCCGGACCGTGACCTGCTGAAATTCCATCACTTTAACTGATGATCGCTTGGACTGAAAAACAGTGACGGTTCCTGTTGATTTCTCCTGTTTGGACTTAAACTAATTATTCTGACCACAACAAAGCAAAGTGCAGTTGCGCACAATTCGCTTAATTTCCTAATCATTTACGGTCACCAAATGTGACACATATTTACTAAGCACAAACCAAACCAAAATCTGAAAGAGTATTTGGACAAAACCGCAAAAAAATGTGTATAAAGTCAGCTAGCTTACAGGCACTTTGACACTTGGGGAGAGGACACAGGTAAGAATGACCTCCGGAGAGGACGTGAAAGTCCCCATCAAATGAACCTGGTATTGGGTAGCAGAAGGTTGCGCCTGGCGATGCGGAGGTAGATAGATTGCCTTGAAAATATATCGGCAATGCCATTCCAGTGTCCGAAATATGACCCTCATTGTTGAAGTCATCTGCAGGCCACGTGCATGTCTGTTCGCAAGCTGCGCGTAAAATCAAAGATCTTAAGAAGTTAGCTTTGAGCTAACGTGTCCAAAAACATGTTGGCTTGCATTATCTAACGTAGGGTGGCCGTCATTCCAGCTTTTCTATACCCCGAAAGGGAAGGCTTTGTTATTGATCAGTAAGATATCCTAGAGTGAAGAGATTACTTGGACAACGCCAATGCTTGCCCTTTGAATCGATCCCAATTATTTGGTGTCAGAATGTTTGAGTACTTAGTACTTGGATGAGCGTATGTTGCGTTTTTATTTAACCAGTGAAAATAAACGCGTAAATAGTACTTATATTCGTTTGAATTTGCTTATTTTAATGAAATGTTCTTGCATGTATACTTAAAGGAATTGAAGCTCGTAGGATAGTCAAGATTGACATAATGTGAGTAGTTTGGCTTATGCTCCATTGGTTCACAATTAATTGGTCATTTTGGTTTTGCACAATTGTTCTAGAGACGGGAGAAATTATTCGCCACAAATTATTAAAATATATTATTCTAACTGTACATTATTTTTACTTATGAAAATTGTTGGGAAAACTGTTGGTTACGTAATACTCCATGAATAAAAACAATTGGCGTTGAAACAATATACAAAATAAGCAGTTGTTTTATGGTGTTCAATGAGCAGTCAATATTTGAACATTAGGTGCTTGAATTTTAGGCAAGTGAATATAAAAGAATACAATCTATCGCTCAACTTCTATATCAACATAGCATGAAAAAAGAACGTCATATGGATAATGGATTCGAGAATGAAAGGATGATTTGGAAGCCCTTTTATCAAACGCCGCGCAGAGAAATGGGAATATTCCTATGATTTTGAAAATCGGCATCCCAAGAAATATAATTTGATAGAAAGGATATTTGGGAAACAGGAACAAACTTTGTTGTAAATTTTCAACACTGGCACACCAGGTCGTCTTCGGGCGCGAGAGAAATGTGTGAAGAGCAGTCCGCATTTTTAAACATGTCAAAAAATCGATAATGCTGCGTCATCCATGGTAGCATAGCATGTTTTGGCTGTTGGCCCTTTTTCCAGGCTCTTTAAGAAGTGCCAGATCCAAGTAGCGCACAAACCAACGACCACACTTCGAAATCAGCTTGTACACTCCAAGGATAGGGTTGGCTCTTTGAACAGAAAAGAGGGCGTTTATAAAATTCCTTGTGGCGAAAGCGATGCAATTTATTGCGGACAAACAAGAAGGTCCGCCTCTACACGCATTCATGAACATCAGTTAGCGGTGAATAGGCGCGACCGTTTGTCCGAAGTCGCCACGCATTCACTTGAAAGTGCTCACCAGTTTGCATGGAACCAAACCCGCATTGTACGTTCCTGCCCATAAAAGAAAGGCCGAGAATTTTTCGAGGCTATAAATTCTGACGAATCATGCATAAACAGGCACGTTGAAATGGATTCAATGTACACCAATCTTAAAAAGGCCTGGAAAAAGGGCCAATCACGAAAACATGCAATTGACCATGGATGACGCAGCATTATCGATTTTTGACACGTTTAAAAATGCGGATTGCTCTTCACACCTTCCCCTCGCGTCCGAAGACGAGCTGGTGTGCCAGCGTCGAGAACCTATAATAATATTTGTACCTGTTTCGCAAAGAATCCTTTCTATCAAATGAGACTATTTCTAATAACCTGCAATAGGAACCTCAAAATCGAAAAACTATTCTGAGGTATTCAAAGTGAACAAACTTATAAAACCTGAAAACTCAATTGTAGACGGATAAACAAAGCCAGATCTTATTTTGTGCTAGTGAAATATCAAAGATGATATATGAGGATATGTTTGAGATTTTCTTTTTTAAAACCGATGAAAATGTAGTACGCGTTGCAAATGAGCAGTTGACATTGTCGGTAATAAGCTGTATGAAACAAATGGAAGAAGTAACGCGTCGTAAAATCTCTACTTGGGTCCATTATTAAGATTTTTGTAGTCGCGCTGATTCAGAGGTTCACATTTATTTTTAATGAATATGTAAACATGTCTACGTATTTAAAAGGTAATTAAGAAATATTTAGTGGAACTGGATAACACAATACATTCTCAAAAATCTTAAACACAGATATATTAAACAGACTTGAATTCGGCCTAGTTTCACGATTAATTCTTAATTTTAGATAAGGGATAGGTCGAGAACCATTATGGAGGGATTTTTTTAAAATGAGGTTTAGCTGGTGTGAGCCTAGCATCGACAGCTGAACATTTATGGTGATGCGCTGGTATCACTAAGTTGACGTTTGAAACGTTGCGTGAAACAGTTATAAGAGGGGGAAATTAACGGTTTGTTTCCACAAACCAGATAGCAAACGCACGGCGTTGCTGAGGGAAATATGAGAAGAAGCTTTGAAGTTAAGCATCCACCGTTTCTGTCAGAATATAATACCTACTATAAATTAATTTGGCGGTCCTGTGCATTTATTGGTAGCCAGGTGTAGGATATTAGGTTTTGAAACGCAAATAGAATAAAGCAAAATTATTAACTGACAGATTAGTTGACTATATGTTAAAAGTAGCATTCCACCCAGTTCAAATATGTGATCTTGCGATGCGGTTCACAAAGGTTATATATTCCAGAACCCTAACATCAAAATAAAATTTAACTATGCGCATTCATTATTTATTCTCATTCATCATTCGTATTCCTTCATCCTTCATACTGAAAAGCCAGAAACCTTTTTACGGATAGCTTACAATATGAAAAATTCTTAATATAAACTGCGTTCAAGGGGAAATATGAGTATTCCAAGACATTAAGGTATACCAAATGCGTATTACAAAGCCAAAATTGTAGTTTAAGTAGAAGTGATAGTTAACTTGTTTAGTGGTTTGAGTGGATTTGGAACCTATTAAGTATTCAAACGAAGGTAAACTTGGCAAACATCTATTAATGTTGTTTTTATAAAAACCGCAAAAACAAAATTGTAGAGTTTGCTCGATAATGTCAACGTACGTGAATTAAGGAGGTAGAAACTGGTGTTTGCAGATCCCACGTTATTTTCATCCACTATCCCAAAATATGGCCGCATTTGCAAGTTTAGTCGCTCTAAACCTCTCCGACCGCTCAGATTGGATTTAAGTCGGAGAAAACATTCAGCAAAAAGACTTTCTTCTATTCGACAAAAACTCAGACCCCACTGAAGCTCATACGTTCCTACTACGTAAGTAATCTGGGCCGATGATTTGCAGTCCTCGGCTGATGGTGGGCATAAGTAGATGATGGAGGCTAACGGCAAGTCAGACCCTTTTGGCAAACGAAATCGTGCACTCAGTAGGTTCCTGGCGATAACGACGGCGTCGACAGAAGAGATTTTCCAAGAAGCTGTAAAGAAAAAACATTGCAATGATTTTCTTAAAATGTGGAAGTAAGTAATAAAAGAAAACGGAGAGAAGTAGGATGAAACTAGGGGGAAAAAGGGTTTTAATGAAGATACGTATGACACGAATCCTCCTTTATGACTTCTGTGTCGTATTGAATCAGGAAACAGACAACCTAAAAACCCAGGCCGCTCAGTCCTTATGTAT